CAGAAAATGAAGCTATATTTAAGGCAGTACAACATTATATATGTACAACTAAACGATTTGTGTAAAGAACTGTTTATTTAACAATGTATCTCTCCCCTTCTCTCTCTCTCTCTCAACATTTTATGTCTCTTCTATAGTGTTGTATGCATATATATTGAATTTGAAATTGTGAAATTTTGTAAATACCAGGGAGAGGGCAACCTAAGTTGGAAGAACTTGTCCCCCAATCCCGTTCACTTCTTGTGAATAAATATGATTAAATCAAAGGATTTAAATAAGAGCACACTGACTTCATACTGTAGACTATATAGTACATACAGCCTACTGAACCTCATTTGGTAGACATTACAAACTAAAGCACATTTACAGATAAACTACATTATTCATTCGAATTTTCCATACTATCCATCTGAACAAAAAGCACTGTAGACTAATAAATTTAAACGGAGATCATCAAAATATCGTTTTCAATGCACACCTACATCTGGTGGGATGAATGGAGGCGTTCAAATAATACATATTCGACCCAATAAGCACCCATGCCCCAATAAGCGCCCCCCCCCCCCCCCCTTTTCCCGAATGCCCCAGTAAGATTTACTCACCTGTTTTTTACATACGGTCAAGAATCTTTTGTAGTCGGTTAATGAGGAGATGTTCACCAGTAAAATGTAAGTAACAGTTTATCTCTAGCCCCCCAGCAACAGAAGAATATCGATAGGCTTACTGATGAATTTACGCCAATTTGACTCTGAATTTGTCCCAATAAGCGGCCACCCCTTCTGTCTTTATTTTAAGCGCCCTGGGCGCTTATTGGGTCGAATACGGTAAGTGCAATAATCTTGGACACGACGTTCAACCCAAATTCACCTCACCTCACCTCACTTACAATAGCACTTGGTTGTTACCTGGAGAAGCTTCTAACACTGCACTTACATAGCACGACATGGTCTTTCCTTGTTCATGGCTTGTCAGTTATCAGAGGGGACATCATGTTACTTATTTCAGCATCCTCAGTTACTTGTGAATCACTGCTGATTTTGTAAGGTATGTCATGATGTTCATTGGCATGGATGGTCCTGTTGTCTAAAATTCTGCATTTCACTGTGCAGCGTTGCATCCCTTAGACACACCCGGAACCTACGATCATTAAAAAAAAGCACCGTAGACTAATAAATTTTGCCAAATGTAAACGGAGATAATCAAAACATCGTTTTCAATGCACACCTACATCTGGTGGGATGAATGGAGGCGTGTAAATAATACATATATATGTGTTGGGTGCAGTGTGTCTGTGGGCGGCTGTGCCTCTAACTCACTATAAGTGATTAAACTGATCACAGTGAATCACAAGTTGTTCCGCTAAACACGCGAATACGCTGCATACAGACACGACATCAACAACCTTAGGTAAAACAGGTGGCGGGAGTGTTGTTTACCAAGAAACATGATTCGTAGAGTAAAATGTCAGATTTATTTAGCTTCCGAAACACGTTTTTGATAGAAACCCACACGGACGAATCTTCCTCGGTAAATGAACCAATATTTGGCAGATATTTATCTGCCACACGTCCACAACGTAACAGAAATTGTGGATTTATTTTGGAGAAGGCTGCTGTTTCCTACTGTAACTGAGCGTTAACACTCAATCAAGTAAACATTTTAAACGGACAGACAACGAATAACTGTAATTGTAATTGTGGATTTTATTGTGAGAAGAGTGCTCTTACATTTAGACAACGAACGCTAACCCTCAAAGTTGTGAGTGAGTATGGTTTTACGCCGTTTTTAGCAATATTCCAGCAATATCACGGCGGGGGACAACAGAAATGGGCTTCACACATTGAACCCTATCGGGAATCGAACCCGGGTCTTCGGCGTGACGCGCGAACGCTTTAACCACTAGGCTTCTGTGTGATGCACGTATTCACTGGCGTAGGTGTATAGAGGGCGAGCATTAACTTTCGAATTCTCTCTGCCGTGGAAACACTTGATAATACAGTATGGAAATATTATCACATTAGGGCATATAAAATATGTTTTCCCCACAGCGTGTAATACTTCTGTTATGTATTAAATTAATTAAAAAGATAATTAAGTTATTTGTTTTAATTTAAAATAATTTTTTTTTCATATTTAATATCTCCAATCAAGGCAATGAATGTTGTCGGAGTCAAAATACATAGCTTGCAACTCCACTCTCTTCCAGAAAGTCTGGCATGTGGTTTCCATAAACGTCTTCAATTGTATAAGCCAGAAACCGAGTCACGGGTAAAAAAACTGCCAACCTTGCAAGCCAGCACATGTCAAAGGTGGAGTTCGTGCATGCAACTGCGTACAACAGCACTGTATTTGTTCTCAGGCGGACACATGGCAACACTGATTATGTTCAAACATCCATCGAGTATTAAAGTATCCATGACAATCAAACAGGTGATATTATATTGTTATCTCTTGTACGAACAGGTGCTGCGTCAGCTTATCCATGCCAGATTTTTGATACACCAGCACTAGACGAAAGCGTGTTTAACGCCACGTCATCAACTACTGGCCTTCCAGTGAAAAATAGATGAAAATGTGTTTAAAAAGATGGGAATGAGTATGCAATTTGTTGAAATTGCACAAAACGAAAAAAGGCAATATACATCGAATTCGCACAGAAAAAGACCATAACTGAAATATACATCGAGTTTAGACACAAAACTATTTGAGTGTGTCTTGGCCGTCGCATGGCAGTACAGCTGTGCGGCGTCAGGCAACAAACAAACACTTACTTTTTTATGAAAAGTGTGCGAGTGTTGGGTGCTACCAGTAGAGCAGGACATGATTACCCTTTTCGCGAACACCTGGTGTTCACTTATCCATTCATATCATTACCACTGTTATTTTGCCATTTACGCCCAATGGAATCTGTTTCGAGGTTATTTGCTCGTGTTGACGTAATAAGATAAACAAAATTGAACAAGCACACGGTTGTCTCAGAACGGACGCAAATAATAGTATACTGTGAAAACTCTTTACATACATTGTGCACATTTCTGTCATTTGCACATATCTTAGATTTGTTCATTGGTAGGTCTGGACCACAAGCTACTGATACAAGGTTGTTATGTTCGGGCGTATGTCTCAGCCATGTGATGTATTAACGACATGGGTGGACAAGGATATGCAACCACATATGATCGACAAATGATGATACTGTCTCCAGAGGCTTAGCTACAAACGTATTATGGTGACTAACAGACTCCCCTTTACAAGGCAACTACAGAATCAATGTGTATGAACCAAGACGTAAATATAGACGGGTAGAGTATCGAATTATTTGACATTTAAAAAATACAATGATGGCGCCATCATCAGCATAGCTAAATAAATAGATATTATCTTGCTAGGTTTTTTCCCGAGAACTCGGTATCTGGAAGGTTTGTTCAAGATTTGGGAAAAACTTTACTTCTAAAACACATGGGCGTTTCCAGCGGTAATTGTCAAGAGGGTGGGGTTTCCGGATTGACGAGGTCGGGACTATCGCGGTGTCACTGTATATCCGATGTGTCACAAGACAATAGTAATTAAAACATTTCTTACGTTGAACCTGCATTCAAACAACTAGATGTACACAACATATTCACAAAGTTCCGAGCTTGACACCCCTGATCCCGATAACTCAATCTTAAAACCGACACAACGGCACCGTGTCCTGCGATAAAACAAGCTATAAACGACTTCTTACACAAAAATATTAGCTCTACCCCCGACCACATGGCGTGCTGGTTGAACAGATGTTGAGTGAAGTATTGAGGGCGCAGGCTGGCGCTTTACCGTTGCATTTCTCTGTGCCGTTTGTTCAAGCCACCGGCATAAATCACTAATTACCCGGAATGACCTAATCAGCGAGATCAATGTGTTACTGGCACATAATACGACATTAAGCTGGGGGCATGTCTGAAAACCCATTAACAAACCATGAGGCTGGGGTGAACAGTTGTATCTTGGCACGATGGTATTTTTTTAATTTATAGTTACACCACATGTGTAAAAGGTCTTGATTAAATTCTGATTAGAAATCGTCTCTGAACCTTTGACACAATGATTAGAAATCGTCTCCGAGCTTTTGATGATTTGATTTTACGTTCAAAATTGTGTTGATAATCATGCATGTTTTCAATATTTGCTTTTATGCTTCGTCAGAACAGTAAACTTGCAAGGCATTTTCAGCAACGCACACCAGAATAGGCTTAAAAGACTCTACTTGCTCTTCGACCGTGACCCATTATGACCGGACGATCGAATTAGTCCCGAGTTGTACACTCAGGCATGACTTAAGCATTCTTCTGGAGAGGTTGGGCTACTGACTTGTTCTTATATACCATTATCTACAGCATTAATTATGTATTACACATTCGTGCATCGTTTTATTCTTCTGAGAGGTTTGGCGACAGAGCTGCGCTGTTCTACAATACCATTACGAACAGCATTAATTATACATTGTACTTTGAAACATCGTTTCATTGTGAAATGACTGCAACTGTCACGTCGAGATATCGATAAACGACCTAAGTATATTTTCTCTCGGTTTTAAACTAATCTGATATAGTTTGTTATATCGGAACGCATATAGAAGCAAATAAAATTGTGAATAGGAACTGTTCTGTTTCAGAATGTCTTCAAACATTGGATGTTTTGATGCGCATAACCATATTTAAAGTCAACATCCTGATAATTACATACATTCAGTCATACCTGATTGATGCGAAACATCAAACGATATAAAATATATATGATAAAAATAACTCTTTAAATCTAATAAATCCCAATAACATCACAATATCTAGTTGATATTTTCGTAAATTACATTTGAGAAAATATATATGTGTTGTATATTGTAATTGTTGAAAAGGTCCTTCGTTCGATCTGACAAGTGTTTCCCATATTTCAAACAATCTGCTGACATACCAATCCGTGCAAGTGTATGAACACATCAAACAAAGTTTAATCAAACTCACCGATGGCTTTCATATATTCAGCAAATCCATCGCTGCTAGACAGCTCCCAACGTCCAACGCATCCCGCCATGATAGCTACACACAGACACTGAAACTTGCTCGCCAATAACTTTCCACTGTGTCGTCTGCTCTTATCGGCACGTGCCAGTGATCATCAGACTCTCGTGCACTCTATATATAGTCTATCGGGTCACGTGATATCAGCTACTTCCGTTAATCGGAATCAAGAATTATGAGAAAGGTGGGGCACAGCATTGTCAATTGGATTCTAACATGAATGCTGTTTGTTGCTTGACAAAACTTGTTTGGCATTACTGGCTCAGTGCTTGTAGTGTTTTTGCGGTATTGGATTACTGCGAAATGTCACTGTTTCGTACATTGAGAAACGTGTTACTGTGAATGAAAGAATGTAGTAAATGTTATTATTTGCGTTCTCAACCAGCGATTCTGACCGCCCGATCCCGTTAGTCGCCTCTTACGACAAGCGCCTTTTAAGGCAAGCATTGGTGGCTGCAGACCAATTGTAACCTGGGGCTGTCGGGTAGCCTAGTGGTTAAAGCGTTCGCTCGACAGGCCGAAGACCCGGGTTCGATACCCGACATGGGTACAATGTGTGAAGCCCATTTCTGGTGTCCCCCGCCGTGATATTGCTGGAATATTTCTAAAAGCGGCGTAAAACCATACTCACTCTCTCACTCCAATTGTAACCTGGATCTTCACGGGTCAGTATTTTAGTTATGTTATAAAAGTATACTACTCAATTTATGACAGGTATAATCAACTATCAAAAGTGGAGTGGTATTCGTTATCTGTGAACATGGTTATAGTTGGTAGTATAAAATGAATTTTGCATAAAATGATGTCAACGTGTGCAGATAGGAACCTACTAAGCCCCCGTTCATCATTTGGGAGGGGCGGTCGGGTAGCCCAGTGGTTAAAGCGTTTGCTCGTCACGCCGAAGACCCGGGTTCGATTCCCGACATGGGTACTTGGTGTGAAGCCGATTTCTGGTGTCCCCCACCGTGATATTGCTGGAATATTGCTAAAAGCGGCGTAAAACCATACCCACTCACACATTATTGGAGATGAATTCGCCAACTCCCTTGACATGCCGTGATATTACTGGAACACAGTTCACAAGCGCTCGAAACCAAACTCACCCCCTTTCTCAATGAGACAGTATGAAGACAAAGAAATTACTCCACCATTTCATCCATATTGAGAATCGAACACTGGTTTTCTGTCGAACGACTGCGGGTACCCCTACGAATTCGAGGAAGGACACATCCAAGGTGCAACCAACAATGTGCAACCAACATATACACAGAGGAAGGCATTTCTGAGCTTGTTCTACGTCCTGCTAGCCAACCGACACTTTCACAACTGGGCTACGTCACCGTCATATATGTACTGGAGAAAATACTGAATAGTCTGTAATTTGTAGGGGGCACGGGTGGCCCTGTCGTCTAAGGCGCCACGATTCGCTGTGCAGAGTTGCGTCCCTTGGGCACGCCAGAAACCTATGATTGTGGGTTCGAATCCTGGTTCGCCCCGATTATGTTTCTAGGTTTGTCAGCACCATACCCGTGCTCGTGGGTTTCACCGAAGTGGTAAACGTCTGAGACCTGCATCACTTCGGGCTTTCCTCCCAAATTAGGCTGACACGCCGTGATATAACTGGAATACTGTTAAAAGCGGCGTTAAACCCAACTCACTCACTCACTCACTGAAATTTGTATTGTATGAGTGGCAGGTGCTATCGGTGGAACAGGGTATGCTTACCCATTTCGCGAAAAATGGTGATACTGATTTTACGTGATTCATTTATTTAATTTTCATCACTATTTTGCCTTGAATCTGTTTCGGCAGATAATCGAGACTGGTCTTTCTCTGGTGTTGACGTTTAGAATTTACAATATAACGAGGATGTGTACCTAAATTGACGTATCTACTTATTTGTGATTTCTGAAATTAAAATCAAGTCGGTTCAAGTATGAAATGTTGAAAATATATGAGGCTATAATTTTCTTTAAACATATAGTTAATCTATAGTCATGCATGCGCTATTAATATACTTAAAAGAACTATTGCCAGTTGAATCATATACTGATCATGCATTGCATGACATTAACTATCGTGATATGAAAGAATCAGGTGATACTTAACTTTTTTTAGAAGTATATACTTACACTGGCAAGAGCACTTTTAAGATCATCATTGCCTTGACTAAAGTTTTAATAATAGCTCTGACAAGGTAAAAATAAGATTCTAATGCCATTTTACAAGCAAAAGACAACTATCCTTGACGAATTAACGCATATTTCACACATAATTGAAAGCACATCTATGTCGTATCTCGTTCGAGATTCTCGTTCGTACCTATACATCAAAGAGGGATGTTCTGTACTTGATTACACACGCACCAGCGACCTTGCGGGGGGTCTGTCAAGTCCGTTTTTGCCGAAATAAACAAGTGCGTGTTTCTTTATCCACGAGGTGTATCTTATTTGTACATTAAGTGCTTTCGTTGCCACAGGTGTAAACTGATCCTTTTCCCATTCACCGTGCCGACAGGTTGAACCAGCTCTGTTCCCCAGAGGTAGAGAGTCATGTTAACTTATATTGTTCCGAGACTTAAAAGAGGCCCCTGCCCCGCGATGTGGTACCCTGGTTTTGGTATCTACGGTGAAATTAATTAAATTCGTCCTGTTTTGCAAATAAGTTTGACAAAATTGTATACAAAGTATATTATTGTATTATCTACTTTTGACGGCTTATAGGGGTGTGTGTGTTGGGGGGGGGGGGGGGGGGGGGGGGGGCGTGCGCGTGTAGGCGTGTTTGGTGTGTTTGGTGTGTGTGTGTGTGTGTGTGTGTGTGTGTATGTGGAGAGGGGAAGGGGCTGGGCTTATTGGTCTGATGCCCAGTTAATGCACTTTGTTAAATTGAGACTCCCCGTGTTTTGGCTATTCATCGGTACATTTGACATTTGACAATGAGTATGCAATTATGCAGAGTATCAAGTCATGATTGGGTCATCATCATCATCATCATCATCATCACCTAGACCTAGACTAGACATTGACTCCAGACTGCGGTGTATAGTCCTTACATCTGTTGTCGTTTATGTATGCCTTCAAAATGAGTCCTTGAGTGAATGAGTGAGTGGGTTTGGGTTGACGCCGCTTTGAACAGTGTTCCAGTTATATCGAGAAACTGAAGTACGTTTGTAACTCTGTCGAAATGTCTATATCTCAGCTTAGCGTGTATTTTTCCGTAATCGTGAATAGATGAACAGATGTCAGTTTATTCTCGCAGCAAGACGACACCATCGGCTGAAGAAACGCGTTGGCGGTGTGCAGTTGGGAGAGATTGTAATAAATTATGTTATCTGTTCAGGAGATTACTCTTGTTAGTATAACAGATTCAATTGCATATGTATGTAAATATACACTCAATGAAATAGCAACACGGTAATGTCCAGGTAAATATAGGAATATGGCTATTTACAGATCATGTTTTATCATTTACTGAACCTTACGTTCATCACTGTATATACATAGAACAGTGTTTGAATCACCAGAACCACTGTCTGTACTACTCTAAACACTGTCTGCACTACTCTAAGCACTTTCTGCACTAATCTAAACACTGTCTGCGTATGTACGGCTACGTCTGGCCTTACCTGAGATACAGAGACAAAAACTGCCAATTACTCTTCACGTTTGAATAACTACTTATAATAAAGGAGGACCCTGGAAGACCCACAAATTTAGGCTGGAGACTTAAGACTCCTGTTAGCATGCTCAACGTACATGGCGGTTGTAGAATGTTTCCAGGGCCATTTGCACAGTGACCTTGACCCGGGACGGACACTTCCGGTGAGGTACCTGATCTGATCCCAGACACTTCCGGTAAGGTACCTGAACTGACCCCCAGACACTTCCGGTAAGGTACCTGAACTGACCCAAAACTCTTCCGTTAAGGTAGGGCAGCTCATCCGTTTCACGAATACCTAGAGTCTTAATTGTTCAATGAAATTAGTTTTTTTCAAATTTACTGTTTACATTTGCAGTTCGGACGGTGGCTTAGTGCTTAATGCGGTCACACCTCACTGCGATGGCCCTGGTTCTATTCCCCACACGGATACAATTTGTGAAGACCTATTTTCTGCCCCCCCCTCCGAGCTATGGTTGAAATATTGCTAAAGGCGGTGTAAAACAACACTCACTCATTTGTTCTACCAATTATTATAAAAAGAATAACACATTTTGAAGTACGAACTGTACGAGTTATACATCAAACACTACACTTTTTGTGAAGTAAGTTCACTTTGACGCCGCCGTGGATAATCGAGACTGTGTATTCTCTAGCTTGGACGCGACGTTAAACCCAATTTCACCTCACCTCACTATTCTCTAGCGTTGACGTTTTATAATTAGAACACTATTCCAATTATATCATGGCATGTCAGCTTGATACAGGGAAAAGCCTGAAGTGATGCAGGAAAAGATGTTTACCACTTGGGCACGGGCATGGGTATAGTGCCGACAAACCAAGAATCACATTTAAGGCCAATCTGGGATTCGAACCCACGTCTGGGCCACCAGTGAAACCTCTCTCAATGAAACATAAAACCTGCTCCTGAACAGCACATCTCGTATCGATTTGTAAATTACACATTTTACACAATTGTCTCGAATCTTTGACCACAGGATTCTGGCACAACTAAGGGACGCCACTCTGCACAACAAAGTACCACTTCATCTCCAAATGCATCTGATTCTGACACAACTTGGTCTCCATCCCATACCACGAGCTCATCCGCCTCTCTTGAATTACATACATGCTTACTCATGCTCATGGCTGTAAGGTGTGGGTGTTTATAGACAAGTTGAGCTCTATTTTCACGCATACAGAGACGATAGAGAATGGCAAACGCTATGATGAAAGCATCCATGTGTTGACCACGTGTGTCTTGAAGTAAGATCCGCGTTCTCAGCTGGGAGGGCGGTCATTCACATATATTGCATTGTTTGAATTGACATTGGGAAATGCTTTCTTGTTCATCTTATAATGTCACGATACCTTTGGAGAAATAACTGGGGCATGTATATACGCACCAAGAACACAGCATGTAGACACGGGGAACTGCTAACTTGTACATCAGGATGTCACGATACCTTTGGAGAAATAACTGGG